TGGCATCTCCACCCAGGCTTCCGGTCAGGTGCAGAGGGGCGGGGGGAAAAGAAGACCTTGGGCTTCTAGAAAAGAATGAAAACAACACATTCCACCATTCTACTCCTTTCTATTTCCCTCCTCCCAACTACTACACTAATGATAGAGCATAATGAAATAGGAGAGAGTGTGGCAGGCCAAAGATCCTAAAAGGGATATAACTGCAGGCCTGACAACAGCCTGATTATAAAAGTTCTGATGGCCACGCCCCCTCCCCCTCCCCCCATAACACATGACTGCCTTTTGGACCCTTGGCAACCAGCCTCCCTTATGGCTATTTGCACCGTCCACAATTTGTGATGGCATTTGCTTCTGTTTTTCAGCCAAAATGCCCCCATAGCGATCAATGGGTTTGCATAACGATCGTGATGTTCAGTTAATGACCAGAGTCACTTAACGACCACCACAAAAAGCGGTCGTAAATGGCAGGCACCATTACGGTTGCAGGTTCGAGGACTTGCCTGTATCTTAAAGCAGGATCAAACTAATTTGTGGAAGTGAAGATAATTGAAGAGAGAGTGGGTGTATATTTTATTTAGTTATTAACAAGCATCTAGAAGCGTAGCAACGATTAAAAGGCCTGGAGACTAAAACATAGGGAGAATGGTTGCAGGGTTTGGATTTGACTAGTCCAGAGAAAAGAAGAATTAGGGGTGACATGATAACAGTATTTCAGTATTTGAGGGGCTGCCACAACAAAGAGAGGGGGGGAATCAACCTATTCCACAAAGCATCTGAAAGCAGAACCAGAAACAACGGATGGAAACTAATGGAGGAGACAAGCAACCACGAATTGAGGAGAAAATTCCTGACAGTGAAGACAATAAACTAGTGGAACATCTTGCATCCAGAAGTGGTGGGTGCTTCATCACTGGAGGTTTTAAGAGACTGGACGTGTCACGGCGGCCTCTCTCAGTAACCAAGAAAGAAACCACTCAACTCAATTTTGCAGAATTAAGAGTACTTTCACTGGTCATGAGTAGATATCAGCTAAGCAAAGCAAGATCTGAGGCAAAAGCGCACGTAATCATAGATATCAATACGTGACCCAACTCCCTCCCCCTGTTAACCCCGGTTCCACCACAAAATCGCGGAGGACAAAATCGCGCTCGACGAAAGCGCGCATTTGACGTCATCACAGCGCAACGAAAA